TACACTAATAACATTTTCAGCAAGTACAAAAAATACCTGTTGTTCTGGCCAGAGATGCAGTATTTTTATCACTTTCTGTGAACTGAAAAGAAAGCACAAATGGCTGTAAACTACTATTCCACTCAACCAACCATGCCTTGGAGATAAATTAAGGCAGACCATAGATTAGTCTGTTTTTTTGTTCAATCAGTAGGTTCACTGAAAAAAATTACTTGATTCACCCATCCACACAGTCGAGGTGGATGGGGGAATCCTGCCTGCTGAGCTACTGAATTCTGACAGCAGGGAGACCTCCCAGCTATTAGAATACACTGTTTAGCACTATAACCAGCAGAACTGATAGAGTGGGGAAAATCCAACAAAGCGGTTTTACAGAAGTTGATTGGTAGATTAACTTGTGCACAACCGCCGTGCTCATACATAGATTGAAATTCACTAATGAATAGGTCAAATTTTGATCTGTGTAAGGCCAGCTTAACCACTTGCCTACTGGGCACTTATACCCTCTTCCTGCCCAGGCCAATTTTCAGCTTTCAGCGCTGTCACACTTTGAATGACAATTTCGTGGTCATGCAACACTGTACCTATATGAAAATGTTATACTTTTTTGAGACAGATAGAGCTTTCTTTTGGTGGTATTTTATCACCATTGGGTTTTTAATTTTTTGCTAAACAAACCAAAAACAACTAAAAAGTATGAAAAAAAAGTTTTTTCTTAGTTTCTGTTATAAAATGTTGTAAATAAGTATTTTTTTCTCCTTCACTGATGTGCACTAATAAGGATGCAGTGATGTGCAATAAATTGGCTGCACTGATAGTCACTGATGAGCAGGCACTGGTAGGTGGCACTGATGGGCATTGACAGGCATCACTGATGGGCACTGAAAGGCAGCACTCATATATGGTACTGATAGGTGGCATTGATAGGTGGCACTGACTGGCAACGATAGGTGGCACTGACTGGCGCTGTTAGGCGGCACTGACTGGCTGCACTGATAGGCGGCACTGACTGGCATTGATAGATGGCACTGACTGGCACTGATAGGTGGCACTGAAAGGCAGCTCAGATGGGCACTGATATGTGGCATTGATGTGCACTGGTAGGCACTGATATGTGGCATTGATGGGCACTGTCAGGTGGCATTGATGGGCATTGACAGGTGGCACTGCTGGGGCTACAATGATCATCAGTGCCCTGATGATCAGTGTACATGTCCCCTCTGAGTAATGCCGATTATAGGGTCTCCTCTCCTCACGAGCTGTCAGCGTAACAGCTCGTGAGGAGAGAAATGCCCATAACTGGCATTTCCTTATTTACATGCGATCAGCTGTGATTGGACACAGCTGATCACATGACAGAACCGACGTCTTTGGCTCTTTCCGTTGATTGATGATCCGCTGTGTCCCAGTGCACCACCGATCGCCCCCTGGGGCGTGCATGAGCGGTTACAGTGGGAGGACGTCCTATGAACCACCTTGTACCCGTAATTTCCTTATATGGCGGGCGGGAGGCGGTTAAGGTAAAGAGTGTGAAGTTCACCCTGGGTAACAACCATGGCTTATTCCATAGATCCAAAAGAGTGTAGCCACAAAGTGGCAAGAAGTTTGTTATTTGAAGGGTTACCAGGTGAAAATAAAGGTGAAAAAGCCTGAAAAATTAAATTAATACAGTCAACATATCTAAGGGCTGCAATAAAATATATTTTCATTTTTGGGTCTATGCTTTAAATATATCATTGCTAGATTATTAGGTTTATTAAGATTCTATGTTGCTAATAAGGTATCAACATTATCAAGATTCTACTGATGGTTACATGGTAATATCAGCATAAATATAAAAAGACAATCTTTGTAGATAGTTGATGATTTAAATAATTCTTTATGAACACAAGGTTGTCTAAAGATCAAGTAAAGTGAAAAAGTAAGCTGAATGATGTAAGAAAACTGGTCATCTTCTATGATCTTTATTTTGCTACATAACACAAAAAATATGTGTTAATGGTCTTTTCAAGAGCAAAAGTCTAAATATATATTCAGCAGAGGCGCACTGCAATGCTTAATCAGGCTTATCACAATGAAAAAGTAATTATTTCCAAGTCTTTAGTCTTTAGAGCAGTCTTATAGTTTCCTTTTGTTCTTTTATCATCATTCAATAAGGCCTTGCATGCTGTATACATAAAACCATTTTATGTCAAATGTCACTACCTGAAAACCCTTTGGCAATAAGATTTTTTTAAAATGTTTTTATTATACTTTGGCTTACGCTATGTCATGGCTTCTTCGGTAAAGAATTTGATCCCCATTAATTCCAAAGCAGAGTTTGTATAGATCAATTCCACTTGACAGAGATTTTACTGTTAATGAGTCATAAAGACTATGGAAAACAGTAGCCACCTGTGTCATTTAATTGAAAAGCAGCATAATGGGACAATGTAGAGGTGCATTGGTGCACAATTTTTATTTGAACTGCATCAAATGAAATGTGTGAAGCAATAATTACACATCATCCAACAATTAAATTCATTGTGGTCGTTAACCTCCTGAGAATGAATTATCTTGATGCCTTGAAGAATATGGAGAATGGCACATTAGTCAAAGATATAAAACCAACTGACCGGAACAATCGCTCACACACTCTCAGCCTCTACCAAGTATTGTTCAGAATGGATTCTGGTACAAAACTGATCACAATGCTAATGAGGCAATGAGAACACTTTGAGTATGGAGATTTGGATAAAAAGAAAAAAAGAGAAATCATTAAAATATTTAAAATATCCCAGTAAAATTGTACATGGACTACACTGTGCCTAATTATTAGGAGAGATACAGTCTTTCCAAATATTCCACAGGGAAAAACATCTTTTTCAGCATATGACTACAATGCATCACTGAACCAGACTGACTCTTTGAGGAGTAGTTTTATTATTATTATTATACAGGATTTATATAGCGCCAACAGTTTTCTCAGCGCTGTACATTATAATGGGAGACAGTACACGAGACAGTACAGTAACAATACAATTCAATACACGAGGGGTTCGAGGGCCCTGCTCCTTGGAGCTTACAATCTAGGAGGGAGGGGATAGTGGTACAAGAGGAAATAGCTGTGGGGGATGGAGTGTTAGGAAGAGTGGAGGAGATCGGCAGTTAGCTGAGGGCAGGGTAGGCTTCCCTGAAGAGATGGGTTTTCAGAGTGCGCCTAAAGGTGAGGAGAGTAGGTGATAGCTGATGGATTGGGGTAGGGAGTTCCAGAGGATGGAGGAAGCCCTGGAGAATTCCTGGAGACGGGCATGGTAGGAAGAAACCAGGGAACCAGAGAGTAGGAGATCTAGTGAGGAGCAGAGTACGTTTTGGGTGGTATTTGGATACCAGATCAGTGATGTAGTTTGGGGCAGTATTATGAACAGCTTTGTACGTCAATGTTAGCATTTTGAATTTTATCCGTTGGGCAATCAGAAGCCAGTAGAGGGATTGGCAGAGGGGGGTGGCGGATACGGAGCGGTTAGTAAGGTGGATGAGTCTGGACGCAGTATTCAGGATAGACTGAAGCAGGGATAGCCTGTGGTGAGGTAAGCTGGTGAGGAGGGAGTTACAGTAGTCAAGACGTGATATAATAAGGGAGTGAATGAGTTGCTTAGTAGTTTCCGGGGTTAGGAACGGACATATTTTGGAGATGTTGCGGAGGTGAAGTCTACATGAGTTTGTCAGCGATTGGACCTGGGGCTGGAAAGACAGATTGGAGTCTAGGATGACACCTAGTACTCTGGCTTGCGGGGTGGGACTGATGGTGGTGTTGTTGGTCGTGATGGAGAAGTAGGGGGGGAGGCGTGGGCTTGGGGGAAAACTAGGAGTTCGGTTTTGGAAAGATTTGGTTTGAGGAAGTGGAGTGACATCCAATCCGATATGTCGTTCAGTAGGCTTGTGATACGGGCGGAGACTGAAGGGGTGAGGTGAGGGGTAGAGAGATAGATTTGCGTGTCGTCAGCATAGAGATGGTAGTTGAAGCCGTGGGAGTGTATCAGTTTGCCAAGGGAGGAGGTGTAGATAGAGAAGTGAAGGGGCCCGAGGACAGAACCTTGAGGGACCCCAACAGAGAGGGGGAGTGAAGAGGAGGTGGCAGCGTTATAAGTAATAACTTAACAATAACTTGTGATAGATAAGAAGAGAGCCATGAGAGAGCAGAGTCTCTGAGGCCAAGAAAGTGGAGTTTTTTGAGGAGGAGGGGGTGGTCAACCGTGTCGAAAGCTGCGGAGAGGTCGAGGAGTAGGAGCACTGAATAGTGGCCATTAGCTTTGGTGGTTAGCAGGTCATTGGTGAGTTTGAGTAAGGCAGTTTCGGTGGAATGTAGGGGACGAAAGCCAGACTGTAGGGGATCAAGGAGGTTGTTGTCGGTGAGGTGGGAACTCAGGCGATTATAGACTAAACGCTCTAGGAGTTTGGATGTAAATGACAGCAGGAAGATGTGTCTGAGGTTGTTCAGGTTGGTGGGATTGTTTAAGTATAGGAGTGATGAGTGCGTGCTTCAGAGGGGAGGGGAATGCACCAGTAGAGAGGGAGAGATTAAAGATGTGACTGAGGGAGCGTAGCGTTTTAGTGTTAATCAAATAAATTTTTTTTGGAAAACTAAAGAATGGTTTAGGGTTTAAGTTAGTCTTTGATATAAATGATTAAGGTTCTTTAAAGGTGGTAAGCCTTAGGTTTTAAGGTTAAACTGAAGATTAATTTTAAAGTAGAATTGCAATCAAAGTTATTCTCTAGTTTTTGGTAAAGTATAAAGGGCTTAGAACCTCTGTCTCAGACTTTTGTACTGTCTGTGTTCCCTTTTGGGATATTCTTTTTTTCTGTTGGTCCTGGTGACCATTGTCAGTAGACAAAGAGTCAGGAAAAAATATTACAGATGTCACTCGAAAAGGGTAGTGAGCAGGGGTGGACTGACAACTTATGGGGCCCCTGGACAATAGGAGATCATGGGGCCCCTGTGTCCTTGCCCACACTCAAAGCACACCCAAAAAAACCTATAAAAAGGTACCGGGGCATTTCATGGGGCCCCCTACTGACCCTGGGCCCTCGGGCAGTGCTCGAGTGCTCGAATGGTCAGTCCACCCCTGGTAGTGAGGGAATCTTCTTATAGATACACTCATTCCAGTGACAACTGTCAAATGTGGCATTCCCCACTCTTTCTAGACATTTTCTCGCATTTTTTGCTGTTCCTCTGGGACAAAAAGCTAGGGGAAAGCTTCCTAATAGGAATACAACTGTAATGTACTGTATATCTGACCCTTCCTAACATAATTAAAAAATAGAAAATTAATTATTGTTTAAGTGTTTAAGAGTATCTTTGTCTACCCACTCAGGAAAAAAATTACAGATTCCCTTACTAGCCCACCACCCAACCTGGATTATATGAATGAAGTGGAGCATGTGACCTCCTGCCAATTTGCAGTGCTGGTAGGTGATTAACATCATCAACCTATGTAAGGTCCTACATCATCCACCATAGAGCTTACAGAGAAAAGGACTAAATAAGAATGTAGTGGCAAGGGACGTCCACAGAATGTAAGAATAACTGGATCAGTGGTTTAGACTTTGAAGAGACTCTTTTACTTTGCCTTAATAGGCTACAGTGAAAAAATATCTTTAAGGCAGAACGCCAGACTCCTATCTACTTCTGCTGACTCTGGTGCTTGGTGGAGAACTTTGCCTTCTTTATTGTTCTCCCTGCCCTTCCCTATTATGTATATGATGCCCTGCCTTCCACAAGGCCCCTTGGGAAACAAGGAGTATCCGTTACTGCCACTGTGTCCTATGCTGTGCATACATCTTCCAAATAGCCAGTTTCAACTGAATAAAAAGGGTGAGCTGCAGAGCTTGCCCTTTTCATGCACACTAAAAATCACAGGACTCTATAGTTCCTCTGCGGCAGTTGGTATATTGTTGAAAGTATCGTTTTTCTACTGTGATCTTAACTGCAAACACATGTAACAGCATCTTATATGTGGATGAAAAAAGGGTTATGTGCAGAGAGCCCTCCTCCCCTGTGCACACTATGTTGCTGGACTGCTCTGCACCTGACAGTGTATATTGTTGATTTGCTCTCTGTGTGAATTCTGTGTTGTTTCTCAGTAAGTATGATTAGCTGCATAATCCATTATACATTAACAGTAAGGAGGATGTTAATGTCTTATGCTGTGCTCTGGGATCTGGTTGCAAACACGTGTAACATGCAGAAATTAACTTATTGCCTTGTACAGTTCACATTTACCTAAAGATGTGTATATTAGATTGGATAAGCATGTCTGCAAAATGTCAATCACTATTGTAGATGATACTACAGTACAGTGCTGGCTTCAACTGGCTCCTTTCAAAAGCCAGGAAGGATTTTTTTCTCCAATTTAAGGCAGGAAAGCTTTGATAAATGTGAAAAAAAGAGCAAAATGTTGCACAGCAGGCAAGGAAGGGGGATGGTTACAGTGTTAACTAAAGCCTGGTAGACGCGATGAGAATATTGTACGAATGATCTCCTAGATTGTAAGCTCCAAGGAGCAGGGACCTCCTATCCCTCTTGTATTGAACTGTATTGTCTCCCGTTATATTGTAAAGCACTGAGCAAACTATTGGCGCTATATAAATCCTGTATAATAATAATATAATAATAATGATCATCCATTTTTTTTTTTTTGCATGCTAGTCTCATATCAAAAACTAATAGGTAATTAGAGCTAGTGACACTTCTTGTAAAACAGCATACAACTTCCTGTGATGATGTATTGTATTCTTTAGTTTCCTAAGCATGCACATTCTTGATCTCTCGATTTCTACGGACGAGTACCGTACTGATTAAATGAAAATTGTCTATTCTGTTATATTACAAGACACATTTTTGTGCTTGTCCTTTTAAATAGTTTTACATTGACTGTTGTGATCAGCTCTCGAAAGCTGTGTGTACTACACATTAGACATCATGTGTACTAGACATTAGTTGTAGGTTACAAGTTATGCTCACAGTATATTTAGAGATTATAGTGCCTTAGAAACACCTGAATGATGGCACCACCTCTGCACTGTGTTTTATGTGACTTATGCTAGAGTGTGCTAACATACTGTAGACATCCTGCAGTTTTTATTATATACAGAACCTCTTTTCAATTGTACACACCAACCACCAAACGGGAAATGAAAGATGATGTTGTGTTTCCTGTACAATAGAGGGCCTCACCTTTTTACTGAATGTAATAAAAAATGTCCAAGATGGCTAGAAGACAGAAAAATATGAAAACAGTTACCTTCTGTAACCAGGTATTGCTGAACCACACAAGTTCCTCAAAAGCATTTTTGTCTGTATTATCTTGATTCTCAAATACACCTGCAGGTGATGTTGGAACATCCTACCCCACTACTTGATATAAACAGAAAGCCTAATGGTAAAAAAGAAAAAAAGAAAGTATTTCACATCCACCAATCAGAATTAAACTTTCTGTGGAAGTTTAAATATAAGGGGAAGCAGACAGAGGGGAAATTACAGCACAGAAATTAAGTGGTTGTAAACCCTTACATATACCCAGTGAAGTGACTGGCCTCAGGAGATAAACAGAGGTAAAACAAATCCCCCTACATAAATTGTACCTGTATATCTACAGCTGCCCTTTTCCAACATCCATTCAAAGTGCAGAATTTACTGTACATATGATGTCTCAGCTCTGAAAATAAGGGGGTGGGGAGCTGTACAGGAGCTCTGAGAGCTGATTGGAGGGAAGGCACACCCCCCCCCTTCGCACAGCACACAGGAACAGAGCTGAGGCTGTCAATCTGCTGGAGGTTTGTCTCCTGTTACCATTTTTTTCTTGGTGTCTGGAAAACTTGTCAGAAGTGACTCATGCTTATAGCAGAGGAATGAGGCAGTAGACAGAAATGACACTTCTGTCTAGTATTCTGGATTGAGATAAGTACACACTATAGAAGAATATGCTTTGTTCATATTTCATGTCTGAAGTTTACAACCACTTTAACCTCCCTAGCGGTATTCCCGAGTGTAGCTCGGGGTAAAATGTCAGTACCAAAAGCGGTAACCCCAAGCTACACTCGGGCTTACCATGCGGCGCTGCATAGGGAGTCCCTGCAGGGCTTACCTTGTCCTTCGCTCCCGCGATGTGTCCCCTGCAGCGTCCCCGGCCATCTCTTCCGGCTAATACCGGCATCCGGCTTCTGTGTTCTGGTCCCTGTGACGTCGGGACGTACGGGCGCCGCTGGTAGCAGGAAATTTACATTTTTTTTTAAAATGTCATTTTTTTCAAAACGAATTTTACATAGTAAAACATTGCTGTTTCAAACCATTTCACATACATTTTGTCCCGAGTCCTTTTTCCTGTCCCCTGTCTGCATTTTGACTGTTCTTTCTGCCTGGAAACTTAGAAAAGTCCATGGCATCCAAAAAGCGTCCCTTTAGGTCAAAAGTCGGTTTAGACCAGCTAGAGAACAGCGATAGTAAATTAGAACCACTTGCAGAATTGAGTGATAATGATTTGTGGGGAAATTCGTCATCAGACACTGAAAACAATTTTGCGACTTTGCTCAGAGATGTGCGAACTTGGCGCTATATTTCAAATTTCAGTGTTTTTTTGGTTTGATCATATTATTGAATTAAATGTATTATTATTATATTATTATTTTTATGATTATTTATTAAATTATAATTTATGATTTTGTGTTTCAAATTTTATCATACCCGGGATGTTTACTAGACTCTTGTTCGGACAGATTTCAGTGAGTTATTCCTAAATATTACAGCCTACAATAAAAAACTACATATTTCCATGCAAAATAATGGTACCGCTTTCAGCACCAAAAATCTGAAATAATCGTACCGCTAGGGAGGTTAAGGAAGTACACTCCTACCCTGTTTAAAGCTATTGTCCTCATATATTTCATGTGGCCCTTTGAAGTTGCATTAATGTTTATAAATAAATAATTCCTTCCTTCCTTCAAAATTATGTTAATCAACCATAAACTTCTTACTAGCACTCATTGCACTCCTTGTGTATATGGAGTCTTGAGGCTTGGAGTGGTCTGTGCTTGATTTCCTATAGGGTACTTTCTATGTAAAAGCCATAAAAATGGGTGGAACATGTAACATGTTCCCAAAAGGTGAACTTATCCTTTAAAGTAAAATAATTGCTGTAAGCAAAATAGTGCAACAAGGTCAGATAAACCAGCACTTTAGCTGTGACAAATCTGTCAAAACAGACTCACCTATACAATAGACAACAAAATATAATAGTCTTTCAGTTTTTTTTTTATATTTTAACTTTTGTAGCTCTTTGTTTAATGAATTTTGCTGATAAGATTACCTAACAGTGGCCTACTCTCTCTGATCCTTGTTGGAACTGTTAATAGACAGCACATGTTTAAGTGACTAGCTATGTGTCATCTGTCAGAAGAGTATATTATCAGTCAGTTTGATTAGTGATTGATCATCTTGTTACTATGGTAACAACAATGATTTCTCCCAAACTAGTGCATATGCTCATCTGATATTAGGGCACACACTAACATAAATCCACTACAGAAGAGTTTTTCTGTCTTGAAAATGTGCCTTAAAAGATCAGAATGATCAAGCAGGTTGGCACTTTGCTCACATTAACTACCTAGCTGTGCTAAATTGTGATTATCCAGATAGCTAATATGTGACTCCTCAGTAGAATCAGATGAGACATCATCTATGCTTGGTGAGCCATCCGTTAACATTGGGAAAATGTTATAGGCGGCATTTATAGCTGCTTTTCAAGTTCCACTTACGGCTTCTAACAAGTCTTTCCCATGAGTTTTCTTTACTAAAAATATCAAATTTTACTTATTCTTCATGCAGATTTTTTCCTAGAAGCTTAGCGAACAATCACTGCTACTTGCATGATTACCCATCGTTTTCTCATCAAGGCACATTGAGTAAAAAAGAGCATTTAGAAATCAGCACTAAACTGCTCTGTGTCATCTTCACATGTGAACATGATGCTGTATAATGGTTTAAGAGGAAAATCTCAATTGCATTTTTGTATGTTTGCAGAAAAGGTTTTAGAATGTATGTAGCACACCCAGAAGATGTGCAAGGAGCCGTAACCCACAGCAACCAATCAAATCGCCATTTTTATGCAAACAGACAACTGTGACAGCACTTTGCACTTCACAGTGTTTCATGCACTCCTTTAATGAATACATCTTTTTGTAGGTCACAATGAAAAAATACATTTTAAGAGGATACACAGAATTCTAACTTGATAGTTACTATCTTTTT